GAATGGGACTCTCATACACTGCTGGTGGGACTGTAAAATGGTACAACCACTGTGGAAAGCAGTATGGTGATTCCTTCAAAAGTTGGAAACAGAAACACCACTCAATCCAGCCATTCCATTACTAGGTATATAGTCTAAAGAAATGAGAGCCATGACAAGAACAGACAATATGCACACCCATGTTCGTCGCAGCACTATTTACAATAGCAAAAAGATGGAAACAATCTAGGTCTCCATCAAATGAGGAATGGATGACCAAACTATGGTATATACACATAATGGAATACTATGCAAGACTAAAGAATAATGTAGAATCTACAACACACCTCATAATGTGGATGAAGTTGGAGGACATTATGCAGAGTGAAATTAAGTCAATCACAGAATGACAAATATTGTATTAGTCTGTTATTGTAAAAGTCAAGGAATAGTTTATATATGTAAGGAAGTTTTCTTTGTTGGTTACCAGGGGTGGGAGGGTAGGGTAGGGAACACTGTTAGATAGGTAGAGATAAGTATTGATTTGGGTGAAGAGAAGGGCAATGTACTAAATGTGAGTGATCAACATGGTGGCACTGAGGAAGAGGAAGACATAGAGGGGTACATGGGAGGTGCCGACAACAAAGATGAACCTTTTTGCACATACAGTACTGCGTTGTCAGTGAAGGCAAACACGGGTACACGGGTGGACAGATGGGTGGACAGGCTGAACTATTACATTTGTCTATGCAGCAGGGAGTAAACCCAAGACCATGTATAGGGTTGGCAGACAACGGTTCTACAAATGTATTTGTATGTTCTGCAAGAAATCCCAGGGGTATAGTAGAGCTGACAAGGGACGAGGTTGTAGACACTTCTTGGTCACAGTCAGCTACCCAGAGGGACCGAGTAGTTGAACCTGTGGGCTTGGGACCATAGTCAAAGGGGACATCAAGCTCAACTGGCATAACATACTGCACAAAACATTGTTCCACCTCCTACTTTGGCAAGTAGCTACTGGGATCTTAAAAGCTTGAGAGCAGCCATCTAGATTCAACAATGGGTCTCTCCTCATCCAGAGCAAAGAAGAATGAAGAAAACCAAAGATTCACGGAAACAATTAGTTCTTGTGACTGGTACACCATGCAATCCTCAGCCTATATGACTATGAGACCAGAAGAACTAGATGGTGCCCGGCTACCAATGTCAACCACTTGGAGGGGGATCTATATAGGTGATCCTGGATAGAGAGGGAGAACAATGTGGAACAAAACTCAAAATCATTTGGAAAAAAAGAAAAAAAAAAAGGGGGACCAGGTTTGCTGGCCCGCTAGAGCCTGGTGGAAGCACTGAGACTATGGCCCCTAGCTGCCTTTCAGGTCTGGAATTAAACCCACAGCTGTGGCTTCCAGCCAAACAAAAGACAGGCATAAGAGTTGAACATGTACCTAAGGTAGACACACTCCTTGGAGAGAACAATCATGGGAGAAAGGAGGGCTGTTTATGCACAGGGAGATAGTTCAGGGGGCAAGAGTGCATGGAGAGATGGACACAGGGAAGAGGTAACTATTGGGAGGAATTGGGGGGAAACTGTTCCATTGGGGTAAAAACTGTAGTCAATGTCATGAGACAACGTGTGTGTGAACTGTGTATGGAAAGTGTATTTGCTCTGTAAACTTTCACCCAAATCACAATTAAAAAAAAAAAAGAAAACAAAACTGAAGTCGATAAAGATTTTAAGTGTTCTGTTCACTGTTGTGAAATTTGCACTGAAAAGGAGCTTGCTTTAGTTACTAAAAATGCCACTTGTTATGGACTGAAAAACATCCTCCAAAAAGATATGCTGAAGTACTGTTCCCTGTATCTGTGAATGTGACTTTGTTTAGACATAGGCTTTTTTTTACCAGTTGGATCAAATAAGGTCTTATTGGAGTAGGGTGGGTCCTAGTCCTAATTCCTTCGGACTTGCATCTTATAAAAAGGCAGACAAGGCATCTATGAGCAGCAAAGGAATGCCAAAGGACAGTCACCAGAAACTAGGAGAGAGGACCAGAGAAGGAATTGACATGGCCGAAATATTGATTTGGACTGTGAAAAAATGAAGTTGTATTTTTTAAAGGCACCCACTTAGTGGTATGTTGTTATGGCAGTGCCTGGAAACTAAGACACTACTAATGATGGCTAATGAGTCAATGACTACTATCTTTTCATTACTGTCTCTCAGAAAAAAGGAAGCCAAAAGACCATCACCACCTGGCCCTGGGGGATCTTCCAGGTTTCTCACCCTACCGCAGGGTTCCCAAAGTGTGGCACTAGATCAGCAGCATTAGCCTCACCTGGGAAATCAAGATTCTTGCTCAACCAGAAACTGTGAGGTTGGGGTACAGCAGTGTTATTTTATTTAACATTTAATGGATTCTGATGCATGCCAAGGTTGAAACCAATGCCCTATAGCAGCTTACCCCCTCCTGAGTTCAGATGAAAGGTATTTATTTCTTGAGAAAAATTCAAAGCCACCCACAATATGTCTTGACGTAAAACTTACCTCATCAAATGACTTGTGAGGACGGATAACCATTTGGGATTCATATGATCTGACCCTCACAAATTCAGGAGATTCTGGTACGCTAGGGTGCTCCACAGCTCTGATGAGGAGGAGAAAAGGGAAAGGAAATCTTAGTAATGTCTCTATATAAAACATGGGGGCTAAGATGTAAGAGAAGACCTAAAAAGCTAGTTCTAATTATTTAAATAAACAAGAGTAGAGTTACTAGGGTGAATGAAGACAAACTAAGTTCTAAAAACGAAGTGAGGTCTTTGTAAACTTATGGTTCATTAGACTTTGTGTTGAGAAAGCCACACTTTTTTTTCTTTTTAATTGCCAACATTAAGGAACCTGAAGAAATTATTTTAACTACAAGTTTACATCCTTAAATCTTCCTGGACAGTCACAGAACATTCACCTGCTACCTGGGATAGCTGAGGCATTGGCTGTGGGGAATCATATAGGACCAACAGATAAGGACACTAAGAACATATAAAGTCCCACCATAGATATAGATGAAGGAATTCAGCAACAACCACGGCGAATCATACATACCGTGACACCAATACCATAACATTGTTTTCCTGATCCACGCTATACCGTCGAACATAAACATAATCCCGTGAATACATTGGGTACTGAAGAAATGGAGAGACAGGATTAGTGTTGTGTATCACATGGTCTTGAGAAGTAAAACCAGAAGTAAAAATACTCACAGGAAAATGAGTTACCCAGTGAAGAACTTCAGAACCACTAACCACGTCCCTCTCAATCACCTCCAGCTTGATTACAAGGGTGTCCCACTTTTTTCTATACTCTGTGTCCAGCTACAAAAAGAGAGAAGACCATGAAGACTCAAGAGATCCAGAGCAAAGCTGTTCTCAAGACGCTTGGGCTTCTGACTCAAGGACCTTATTATGAGGAACAGTGACCTGATCTAAGAGCGCCAAAGTGTAAGAGACATGGCTAAACAATAGTTTACTGCAAATGACTTTTTAAATCCCTTAATAGAAGCCATTATTCATTACAATGAATAAGAATGCTAAAAAGAAAGTGCAAATTAAAGAAAGGAATAAGAAACAATATTCTAACAGATATGTCAGAGAAGATACAACCAAGAGTGATATAAATGTGTAAGGATCAAACAATTCTAAGGTTTTAAACAAAGTTCAAAAGTATGAGCAGATTACTTCACACAATGAAGTACAAGTCATATATTTTAAAATTTATAATTAAAAAAAATTTTAAATTACCTACCAAGGAATTTCAAATCAAGACAAATAAGCAACAAAAATTCAATACAATCTGATGAGTGCTTAGGGGAAAGTATGTATTTGTCTATTACTGCTGGGTGTTATAACTCAGTACTAATTGTGAGAGTCTGACAAAATAAAATTTAAAAATTTAAGAAGAAAAAATTTCTCTGTAGAACTCTGGATGATACTACCTCCTCCCTTAACCATTTTTTCATTTTGGTTTTAAATGTTTTCCCATGCTGCTCAAGAGGAATGAAGTCTCTGAACAGAGCCTCTTCATCTTTATTAAATAAATGCCTTTACTGTGGAAATGTTCCAGATTAAAGGAAGCTAAAGAGATGTAACAAGTAAATGTAATCTGACTGGATCTGTACTGGAGGGTAAAATGCTATGAAGGAATATTGTTGGGTTAATCGACAAAACTGGAATACAAACACAAGATTATATAAAAGTGTTTGCACTGATGTTAAATTTACTAACTTTGATAACGGTATCAAAGTCATGAAAGAGAATATCCCTAATCTTAGGAAATACATACTTCAGTATTCAGAACTGGTGATAAAAGGCCATGATGTGTGTAAGTAATGTAAGTATATTTACATAATGTAAAAAAATGGAGAAAACGTAAAAAATAAATCTGAGTACATGAATTGTTTGCACTATTTTTTTAAAAATTGTGATTTGGGTGAAAATTTACACAGCAAATTCACTTTCCATACAGCAGTTCACATACACTTTGTCTCATGATATTGACTACAATTTACCCCAGTGCAACAGCTCCCCTCACACTTCCTCCCAATAGTTATCTCTCCCCTGTGTCCATCCCTCCATGGACTCCTGCCCCCTTGCTGTCTCCCTGTGCATAAGCAGCCCTTCTTTCTCCCATGATTGTTCTTTCCAAGGAGTGTGTCTACCTCAGGTATATGTTCAATTAATATGTCTGTCTTTTGTTGGCTGGAAGCCACAGGTGTGGGTTCAATTCCAGACCTGAAGGGCAGCTAGGGGCGATAGTCTCAGTGGTTCCAGCAGGCTCTATCAGATCAGCAAACCTGGTCCCCTGTTTGTACTATTTTTATTCTTATAATTTTAAAATAAATTTCAAATTACATCTAAATGAAGAAGTTTTAAAAATATTAAAATTTCCATTCTTCAATGCACAATTAAGAAAATGAAAAAGTTGCCAAAGAATGAAGCTGGACCTGTACCTCACATCATAGATAAAAATTAACTCAAAATTTAAGAAGTAAATAATAAAACTCTCAGAACAAAACATAAGGTTCATGCCCTTGGAGCTAATCTACAATAGTAGATTCTTAGATATGACCCAAAAACACAAGCAACAAAAGACAAAATAGATAAATTGAACTTGATCAAAATTAAACACTTGCACACCAAAGGGTTTTAGCAACAAAGATGATCTATATAACGGGAAAAATATTTGGAACTCATGTATCTGATACGGGTTTAATATCTAGAATATATAAAGAATTCTTACAACTCAGCAATGAAAAGACAAACAATCCAATCAAAACATGGGCAAAGGACTTGAATATAAAAGATATGTAAATGGTCAATGCATGGATGAACCTTGAAACCATTATGTTGAGTGAAATAAATGAGTCACAAAAGAACAAATATTATATGATCCTACTTACATAAAATATTTAGAAGAGAAAAAATGCACAGAGACAAAAATGTACTAGTGGTTGCCAGGGGAGGGTGGAAGAGGGAAAGGAGGATTTATTGCTTAAGTAGCACTGAGTTTCTGTTAAAGGTGATGAAAAAATTTGGAAACAAACAGCAGTGATAGTTGCATGGTTCACAACACAGTGAATGTAATTAGTGCTGGTGAACATAATCAATGTCCCTAAACTGTACATATAAAAATGATTGATACAGCCAATATTTTGTTATACATATGTGATGGTTATGTTTGTATGTCAACCTGGCTAGGCCTGGTTGAGTGGCTTGGCAGCTGGATGTAGTATTCCCCATGATGAGACTGGTAATCAACTCCATGGTGGAACCTACTGGGAGCAGCTGAGTAGCTGCCTTTGGGTCTGTGCTCTGCTTCCTGTATATAAGGAGAAGCTTTGAGAATGGTCACTAGCCTATGGCACGCTTGGACCCTGCATGTAGCCATGTTGTTGCTCAGCAGCCTGCTATGCTCTGCCGACCTTGGGACTTACAGTGGACTTAAGTTAATGGCCTGCCATGTGGATTGGTAACATCAGGACTGTGCCTTTTGACTTGTCAACCTTGGGGCTTCTCAGCCTCAGCAGCCTGCAAGCTGTCTGAGTGAAGAAACACCTCTAGCTCCAGTGGGCTGGGAGCAGGAGGCAGAGCTAGACCCCAAGGTTGAGGGGCTTTCACCCAGCCCCTAGAGCCT